GGGGAGAAATCACCACGCGGTCACCTCGGTGGGGGAGAAATCACCACGCGGTCACCTCGGGCAGGGAGAAGTAACCACGCGGTCACCTTGGGCGGGGCCAGAGGTTTCCCAGAGGAGCTGCCTCCTGGCAGGAAGCGCTGGAATCCAGCTCACGGAATTCCTGTGAACTCTGTAACACCAGGAAGGGGTGAGATGAAGGCAGCTGCAGTCCCAGGCGGACGGCAGGGCCCTGAGGCTGGGCTCTCCCTGGGCCCTGCCCCTGCCCAGCGCTTCCCCTGGCAGGGCCCTCAGCTCCTCTTCTCCAAGGCCTGGAAACAAGCCCCATGGGCCTGAGAATCATGGCTGTGTGTGGGAGGCACGTGTGTGACTATAGAAAACCCCCAGGACAGACGCTTAGCCTGACTGGCAAAGGGGGGGCATGGGGGGCATGGGGTGGGCGGGGAGGGAGCCTCGCTTTTCCCTGAGAGCTGTTTCATTGCTCAGATTATTTTGGAAACGCACATTGTTCACCGATTTTTATGTTTTTCTACGTATCAACATAAAAGATATAAACACAACTCAACAAAATTCAAACCCACAAAAAGTGAACCTCACCTTACACTCCCGTCGATCCTCCCCTCTCCCTGAGAATTTGCAGTGTGTTGCTCCAGAATTTTTCTTACAAAGTTCTCTAAATACCGTGGTTTCAAAACACATGTGCTTAGATTTATGTTTTTTACTTAAATGAAAACATACTTTGCACACTACTATACAACTTTCTTAGTATATTTAATATTCAGAAATATGTCTTGGCGTGAGTTTCGTGCTGGCTCACGTGCGGCCAGCCACGCCATTTGTCATAGGGCTGAGCCAGAGCTGGGTTTTGCATCTGCCCGTCGCTGAACGTGCATTTCCAGGAAAATCCAGTGTCAACTTCTTGTCCCATACTCCAGTGCCAGAGGTGCTCAGGGTTCTCTTGGGCAGGACCGTTCAGCCAAGTCCACAGAGCAAAGTGTGGACGTGGCCTTCAAAAGGGTGAGCGAGGCGGAGAGGGGCCTCCTCTCCTGAGCGGGCACGGACGGGCAGGTCCGCCTTCGCTTGCCCAGTGCTGGCGGCCGGCCGGGGGTGCCACAGACCCCAGCGTGCTGGGGCGCAGGCTCGGCCTTCACGCAGAGTGCTCGTCTGTTCAGGCTGCAGTGACGAAATTCCTCCGACGGCCTGGCCGCAGACGGGAACCTGTTCCTCAGAGCTCTGGAGGCTGGAGTCCAGCATCAAGACGCCGCAGCTTCCGTGTCTGCTGGGGCTTCTCCTCACATGGTGGCCGGGCGAGCTGGCTCTCTGGGGTCCCTTTCCAAGGCCCAGACCCCCTCATGAAGCCCTGGCGCAGGACTGAGTCACCTCCCAAAGGCCCCATTCCCAAACACTCCCACTGAGGATTAGGTTTCAACACCAGAATTTTTGGCGACACAAACTTTGAGACCACAGTCCCCAGCTCTCTGGGTTCCCAGGACCCTGCGGGAGGGCCGGGTAGCGCCTGCCCCCTTTTCACCATGAGGCTTCCGTGGAAGCTTCTTGCCCGAGGCAGGAAGCTGAGGAATGGACAGGGTCATACTCAGACCCGGGGGTGCCCCCGCCCCCATCGCTTTCTCCACATCCCTCTCGCCTCTGTCACACGCTCAGCTGCGCCAGCAGACACCAAGCTCAAGCGCATTAACACACAACGGGGTGACCTGCTCACACGAGTCCACCCAGTGACCCACGGACCATGGTGGCTGGATTCCCGCTGAGTGCTTTCACTCTTCCATCTCCCAATGGCCTCCCCATTGCTTCAGGAAGAGTAAATGCACCACGTGGTAAGCCCTGCTGCTGCAAAGCAGACGTGACGTCACGTCTGCTCAGCGACCCTGTGGGCGCCCCTCAGTCAGCCTCATAGGCCACAGCAGGTCTCACGGCTGTGCCCACTCGCAGGGAGGCAGGGAAGCCCCAGCCCCCACCAAAGGTCTGGCAGAGGAAGGAGACCTGGACCCAGGAGCACCAATCTCCCTCCCGTTCTCTGGGTGAGTGACGGCGATGCGTCCAGGCAGGTGGTCTGCCAGTTAGACCCGGTCGTGAGTAGCCACGTGTCCCACAGAGCGTCTTGGCTCCTGCTCGGCGGCAGGGAACCGTCTCCTTCTGGAAAGCCAGAGACAGCTCCCATGTTCTTCTCCCCATGTGTTCGGCATTCGCTTTTCCTTCGCTTGCACTGCTGTCCCCAGGTGACCCTACTCTAAAAGTCCCGAGAGACTAACCCTAATGATGAGTACCTGAATAGCACTTACAACTTCTCAAAGGATTTTCAATCCATTCTTCAGTTCATGGGCACCACACCTTCAGAAGACAGGAAGGACGTTGGCAAGACGGGGATGGTGCCTGGCAGGGCCCCGGCCCACCAGCGGGTCACCCGAGTGCGGGGACAGCTCCTGACAGGACGACCTTGCCAGCCCACATGCCCACCCCTCCTCTCTCTGCAGTCGCCATTCTCTGTGCCCATGAGGACAAACCTGCTCAGCCCGCCTTCGGGTGGCGTAGAAGTGCCTGGAATTTAAGCCCTACATGGTGACTCTCAACCATGGGTGATGAGCGTTTGTACATAAACAGTCCCCCATCCTTGTCCCCTGGGTGACACCAAGGCACATTCTGCTGGAGTGGGGCTCAGGGGACAAGCAGGGTGGCACCCAGTGCCCCTCCCGTTCTGTGCCCTGGAAGCTCCTCTCCCTCCCTGGCTTGTGTCCCCACTCCCCACCTTGACTTCTGAGATCACCTCCCAAGGCACGTGCCTCTCAGCCCTCGTCATGAGGTGTGCCCATTAGGACAGGCGGCAGCAACCCTGGTTCACAGTTGAGGAAACATATTCCCCCAGGGGAGTGCTTGGCAGTGTCTGGGGCACTTTTGGTCGGCCCTGCTCGTGGGCGGGGTGCCACAGCATCTTGCGGTGGAGCCCAGGGCTGCTGAACACCTGGCCTTGCCCAGGAGGGGCCCAGAGCATGACCCAGCCCAGACGTCCACAGTGCTGAGGTCCGGGGGCCTGGCCTGCTTCTGCAGATCTCTTTTATTAACAGCTTGTTCTGGACTGAAGCCTGGGTGCGTAATTATCAGCCTTAGATTTCTGCTCAAGCAAAATTAGCAGAATACCCCCATTTCCCCATTGGATCAAGCGTGCCGTGAAATCGTACCCTTTATTCCTTCCCGTTGGCCCTTATGCCAAGCTGCCTCGCTGGGGATGCGTCTGCGCAATCGTCAAGAGGCCACGACTGTGCATGCCCACAGTTCCATGGCGCACAAGCACATCACACCCAACCACAGCTGTGCAGCCGGCAGTCAGGCATCCAGACAGAGCACCGTGTGCTGCAAAAGCACGCCCGGTTTTCGTCCATGCAGGATGGTTTGGGTGTCCCCTGCCCGTGCCCAGCCTCAGGCCCCTCCTCGCGTTGCGTCCCCTGTAACCTTAAAGTTTTGGCATGGCCGTCACCCCCTCCAGGGAGCACCCTGACCTCTGCCTTGGAGGAGCTGGCATGCCTCACGCACAGCACTCACCAGCCTCCATTTTTGTGCCACATGCTCCTCGCGGAAAGGGTGAGGGCAGCAGCGCCTCTCCTCCTCCACACCCCAGGGTCCGGGCTAAGGTGCTCAGGAAGCATCAGCAAGCGGGGCTGTCAGGCCCCTCTGGTTCTCAAAACCACGTCACCCACCCGTGAGAAATCAGAGACATGGTGTGCCCACTGGCTGGAGGTCGCAGTCCACTGGGTCACTACGGCAACCCTGCTGACTCATCACACCCTCCCGCACTGTTCAGGTGGCGTATGCAGACACGTGCATGCATATGTGCACACATGCATGCACACACATATGCCACATACACAAACACACATGCTTGAGCAAGTGTTCTCGGACCCGGTACACAACAGGCCTCCTCGTGGGGTCTGGCTTCTGACATTTTCAGGGTCTCCTGGGACACACCCTCTAAAGCATCCACAACGCCTCAATTAAGAACAGCTTGTGAGGGCTTCCCTTTCACTGCACAGAAGCAGGGTCTTCCCAGAGCTGCCTCCCTTCTCTTTCAGGGAAGACATGCCCTCCACTTTCTTCAACTGGGCCAGATGCCTGTGGGCTGCAACACCCACGTCAAGCCGCTTGCAGAGGCCCTTCCTGTCCGCCCTCCTGTCTTGAGGGTGAACAGGCACAGCACGGAGTTCACGGCAACCCACACTGGCGTCTGCTCCCCCTGAAGTCATGTGGGCGTTCGGGCTGGGCTTTGGCCTGATGTGGTCATGGTGCCCCTCTGCTGCCCCACCAGGCCTTTCTAGGTGACCTTGCTGCCCCCTGCTGCTGATCTGGACAGGAGGGCGCTCCCCCTGGCTAGGCTCCTTGCATGGTTTTCCGTCTCAAGAAGCTCCTTTTCTGGGAGAAGGGAAGGCGGTCCTGGCCAGGAGGAAAGGAGCCGTGGGAAGGCCGTCCCAACATCTCAGCACCTGCTCTGGATTGGACGGTGCTCCCCACCCCCAAATTTGTATGCTGACATCCTGATCCCAGGACCTCTGGTGATTATATTTGGAGACAATATAGAGATTAAATTGAGGTCGTTGAGGTGGGTCCTTAACCAACAGGACTGGTGTCTCTTATGAGGTTAGGACAGATGCAGAGGGACTCCCATGTAAGAATGCAGGGAGAAGACCCCTCTACATGCCAAGGCCTCAGGAGGGACCAACTCTCCTCTCACCTTGATCTCCTATGTGCAGCTCCGGAACCGAGAACACACTTGCTGACAAACTCCCTCTGAAGGTACTTCGTTATGGCAGCCTGAGCCGACAGCGCTCCGCCAAGCTTGGGCCTCCCTCAACTCCTAATCCAGGTGAGCTGGCCAGGACCAGCCCGCTCCATCCCTCTAAGTCCTTGCCAGCTTAGGTGTGGCCATCCTCTAGCAAGGGAGCTCCTCACCTCCCCCTGAATGTGGGCTCACCCTAGGGACTTGCTGAACCAACAGAGTGCAGCAGAAACGCCACGAGGGAATTTCTCAGGCTGGGTCATAGGAAGCCTCCCAGCGTCCGAGCGGGTCTCTCGAGACAATCTCGGGAAGCTCACTCTCGGGCAGCGCAAGCCACGCCCTGAGCCGGAGGTGCCGTTTGAGCGGCACTGAGGCCCCAGACAGGAGTGCTGGCGCCATCTTGGAAGTGAGTCCTGAAGTTAATGCCACATAGATCAGACAGCTCCGCTGAGCCCATGCCAAATGCCTCACAAATTTGTGAGCAACGGAAAATGGCTGATTGAAGCCACTAAGCTTGGTTTGTGCAAGGACAGGTGACCGAACACTGACTCCCAAGAGGCCCTAAGCAGCCTAAGGAGACTAAAGAACTCCTGCCCCACCTCACACCCCGCACCACCCCACCCTACTGCAGCCAGAGTTCAGGGAGAATGAATGAACTAAGCTATTCAGTCTATTCAAACAGGAAAATGTTTTTAATTGGAGCGTTTTAGAAATGAGACGATGCAATGTCTTCTATAGGTCCTCACTTGAACTGGTAAGTGACAGGCAACCTTTAGGGCGTTTGCCTCCAGTCGCTCTCCTGACTCCCCGATGTGATAACTCCGTAAGATACAAGCACTCCCGATGACGAGAATGTGCGTGACTGGAGGGAAGGGACTACATCTGTCTCTGCTTGTGCCTCGGGTGGGTTTTACAGTAGATGTACCACCGGCCCCGCCTCTTCACCCGGTAACAGTCCTTGCAGCGTTTCTTAAGGACACCCTTGGTTTTGAACCCCAGCGCAGGCAGCAGGTGCGGCAGGAGGCCGGGGGAGAGAAATGACCGCACTTCTGCCCCCGGTTCCACAGCCACGGGGGCCGCACCTCGAAGGGATCCCAACAGGAACGTGGAGAGGGCTGGAGGCCTCAGTGTGTGACGACTGAGACACAGCAGAGGGTTCACCATTTTCCTTATTAAAAGAGTTGCCATGTCGTGGCGATCTATGGGAGGGGGGAAAAAAGGTGTTACAGCTTCTCCTGTGTTTCCACCCGCTATTTAAGGCGTCCTTTCCCGTTTCACTGAGGCTTGGGAAGGCAGCGACCGCGGGGTCGGAGAGCGTTTCCACAACAGCTGCAGCCTCGACCACAGGCTCAGCTGCCTTAATCGGCCAAGTGTGCCAGGAGAGTCAGGGCCTGCACGGCGGCTGCCTTCCCTTTCCCGCCCGCTGCCGGTGTCGGCGGGTGCGCGCAGCCCCGCGAGGCCGAGGAGCGGCTGAACGGCCGGGAGGCCCTTACGCTGAGGCCGCATCCCTTTCCGACAGTCACGCCGGGTCAAGGGCGGTTCGGCTGACGACCCCTCCGTCCCACTCTCCCCAGTCCCAGGGACCCCTCGGGCCAGTTTCAGGACAAAACCCCGAGGCCGCAACGCCCCGCCTCCGCTGGGAAGTGCTCGGGGCCCTGGCAGCCCGGCCGCCCGCCCCTGCTTCCCCACGCGCCCGGGGCCCCCCGGTTCAGCGGCCCGGGCTGGGAGGAGCTGGGTCTGCAGCGCCCGCAGGACACCGCGACCCCGGGGCAGGCTCTGCGCGCTGGCTGTGGGGTCGCGCTCGGAAGCCGCGGGGTCCCCCCCGCCCCGGGGTCGCTCGACACCCCCTCCCGCCGCCCGAGGTCGGACCCGCCCCCCACCCGACCCTCCGACACCGCCAGGCCCCGGCCCACGCTTCTCTGACAGCGGCCCACTCGGGGAGACGGGCCTAGGGGACCCAAGGTGGCCGGCCCCCGCCTCTCCAACCCGGGACCCCTGACCTGAGAAGGCAGCGCCGGTCCCGAGCCCCAAGCCTTCGGCCCGCGCCTGCGCCTGCGCCTGCGCACTGGGACGCGGACGCCGCTGCCAGGAAGAAAAATGGCGGCGGGAGTCACGTGGCGTGCCCACGTCCAGTGGCGGGCGCAGAGGCGCAGCCGCGAGTGCGCAGGCGCTGGAGACCGAGGCTCGCAGACTGCGCACTCCCTGCGGGCAGGGGCACACCTGTGCGGTGGGACTGGGGCGCTCCCGGTAAAAGGTGCGAAAAACAGGGAGGAAAATGGATATTGGCAACCAAAAAGAAATTACAACCCATTAGACCTTAGAAGAAGCTGACAAGTACCAAAGTCAAAAAACTGAGAAAGAGGACATGTTTTTAAGGGGACTTCCCGGGAGAAATGTCAACGGGCTCCGGGAAACGAGTGGAGACCGGCAGTGGTTCCAACTGGGTACGGCTGTTTTCCCCGACGTTATGGAACACTTCAGACATACAGAAAAAGGGGGAGGCCTTTACAGTGAGCACCCGTGTACTTGCCACCTAGATTCTACAGTTAACTCGCTTATCCCTGCCTTTTCAGGGATGTACCCGTGGCTCCACCCGCCTCCCTTTGCGTGTGTCCAGGTGAGTTGCAGAGGTGGCTGCATCCACCCCGCGCTCCGTGCAGGCCCCAACGCTTCGGGCGCATCGCAGCGTCCACTTTTCACTCCTGACTCGGCGAACACCAGGCGGGCCTGCGGAGTTTATCAGCTCCAGGACAAATCTGCCCCTGACCACCACGTTTACTGGGACAGCATTCCCAGTTTTCCGGGGCTTTTTCTGTGCATTCTTGTTTCTCACCGCCTTTCTCCCTCTTCGTCTCCCCGGCCTCTCATGCATCTCTAGTGTTTTGTTCTTGGAGTCACCTGGTCCTCAGGCTCTGACCACAGCAAATAAAAGCTGGATGCTGGAGCGTTAAGCTGGGATTTATACCCAAGTCGGCTCTGAACAAAATGGGCCTTTTTAGAGGCTGTGTTTGCATGCTGGATAAAGTCAATTGGCGTACTAAGCTCTGCTGCAGAAATCTTCCAAATATACTCTTCCTCCGCGGTTCCCCAGAACCTCACACAGGAATGCTTGCCTTGAACCAGGAGAATGCACTTCCAGTCTCTTCTGCTAAGCAGTAGACTTCTTCACACAATAAAAGTTTTTGATATGTAAACGTCTCATGATTATCGGTTACCATAGGAACATAAATAATGTCTTTTCAGTTTACATCCTCCCCTGCCTGTCCCTTAAATAAGAACCACTGGGAACTCCTAAGAGCTGAAGATTGCGCACACCGCGGCCTGCGTCATCCCGGCCCTAGCTCCAACTTGAGGCTGCAATCGCCAGAGGCTGCACCATTGCCGGGTGTAGTGGCTCACGCCTGTAATCCAAGCACTCTGGAGGCCAAGGCGGGAGGAGCACCTGAGGTCGGGAGTTCGAGGCCAGAGGCGCCACCTGCGCAGCGCATGCGCACCCTCCGCCCCGACCCGCGCGCGCTCCCCAGAGCGAAATAAGTCCCGGGAGTATGGGCGCCGACAGAAGCCGTGCGCATGCGTCGGCTCTAAGAGCGACGTTGCGCCGGGTCAAAGGTCAGCCGCGCAAAATGGCGGCAGCAGCGGCGACCTTCTGCCGGCTGTTGTGCCAGTCCGGCGCGGCTGCGCGGAGCCTGCCCCTCGGCGCCAGGTGTTTCGGGGTGCAGGTCTCGCCGACCGGGGAGAAGATCACACACACTGGCCAGGTAACGGCCGCTGGGTACAAGACTCCTCTTCCTCCGGCCGCACCTCCGGCGGCTGGTGGCGGTGGGCTCGCCGGGCATACGCGGCTCTGGTTCTGTACCAGCGGCCGCGCAGGTCGTGGTAAGGTTGTGCTTGTGTCGCTCACGCGCCGGGAAGGGGGCCTGCGGGTCGGGACGGTGACGGCGGCCGGCAGCGGTGGGTCTCGTCCTCCCGGGGCCTGCGGGCTCTGGAACGGGAAGGCTCCCCGGCAGGCAGCCTTTGCTGTGGAGTGACTGCCCGTAGGCGGTCCGTGGCCGCTGATTTTTTGGGTCAGCGTTTAGAATTTGTGTAATATTCAATAATAAACTTTAGTAATCTGAGAAGTCGGTTGTTGTCCAAAGCACACAAATATTGTAAGCCAAAATGAAGAACAAAGGTAAATGTGTCCTAGGAGATTTATTAAGAGGGATTATATAAAGCCAGCTGGCCATATGCGAAAGAAGGCTGGGGCGGTTCTCCTCGGTGGGGACTTGTCTCTCCTCCTTAGCTTCACCTTCCCGGGCTACTTCTCTATGCTGCTCTCTGATTCAGGTGCTCACCCGTTTTCATCCCAGGTATCTTGCTAAAAATGTTCCTGATTAACTGTGTACTGTGCCCCTCACTTGTTTGACTTTCCATCAATGGCCTGAAAGTTAAGAAAAACACTCACCTGTAGTATTTATGATTGATACGAAGTCACTTTTTTCAGAATTAGGCTGTAAAAGTCACACATGGTCTTTTTGTTTTTTTTTTTCCAGGTTTATGATGAAAAAGACTACAGGAGAGTTCGGTTTGTAGGTCGTCAGAAAGAGGTGAGTAAAAGTTTTAATGAAGAGAGGTAAGCTTTCATAAAACTTTTATATAACCAACAAGAAATAAAAATTAATATATAAGATTTAAATAAATTCTCCCCCTATTGCAAGGACCCTAGCAGCTCTGGATGGGATTCTACCTTCTAATGTTAATTGTGTCTGTTTGTGTCTTGTTTCCCCCTGAAATACATTACATAACATGGCAACTGTAGTTCTGGTTTATATATAAGTGGAAGTTATCTTTTTTTAAATACTCATGCCTTATTCTGTATCAACTTTAAAAAATTACTCTTTTAACAACCTGGAGGAGGTGTGTTTTTCATAGTTTTCACCAAATAAATTAGTATGTGCTTTTACAGGGACTCACAGTGATAAGCTGAAAATTCACATGAGTTTTTCTTTCCTTAGTGGGTCTGTTAGCTCTATACATTGTGAAGGAAGATCAGTTCAGATCATCTCTGAGTGACCACTGGAGAAAGAATGTTGAAATTAGAATCCTTCTGCCTAAATCAGCCTTTTTTTTTAAACCTGACTACCTATCGTTCATGTCTGTGAGCCCCTGAATTCTTAATTAGCTCAGGCATGCTTCCATGTTTCTGGAATTTTTTTTTTTCATTCTTTTTCCCACTTTGGTTAGCCTGGTTCTTCTTCTTAACACCTTAACGATCCTTAAATCATATATTTTCCCTTCTCCCTTAATCTTGGTTACATTATCCATTCCCAGTGTATAGTTTTTCTTCTGTCCTGGAGCTCCAGGGCATTCCGGTGAAGCTCACATGATCATGAATTGAATGTAAATTCACATTCTCAAAATTCATTTGGTTCACTGTTGTATGATTTGATGAGTGGGTGTCAGAGAAGTTTGTTTTATGGTGGTTGATTATTTGACAATGCCCTTGAATGTTGGGTTGAGAAAGATCTTGGGGCTTGATCCACATTGAGTGAAAGAGTATGTCGTGATTGATTAGTGATGTCTGCCAGGAT